CCTGATCAACAACATAAACATCATCAAAAATAAAATTGAAAAAAATCTATAAGATGGCCCAGTGAAATGGCCTAATGGCTAAAGTCCTTGCCTTGAACGTGCTGGGATCCCATATGGGCGCCGGTTCTAATCCTGAGAGCTCCACTTCCCATCCAGCTCCATGCTTGTGGCCTGGGAAAGCAGTTGAGGATGGCCCAAAGCCTTGGGACCCTGCACTCACGTGGGAGACCTGGAGGAAGTTCCTGGCTCCTGGCCGTTGAGCCCACTTGGGGAGTGAATCATTGGATGGAAGATCTTCTTCTCTGTCTCTCCTCCTCTCTGTATATCTGCCTTTGTAATAAAAAATAAATAAATCTTAAAAAAAATTTATTAGAAAAGTAGTGCATATTTGTCACTTGGGGCACTCAACTGGTATAATATAACTTAGAAGAAAGTCAGTATTTTTACCCTATACTCAAAAAGATAGGATTACTGAAGGATTTGAATCACCAGAAAGAAGGGATCCATTTTAGAAGCTGCCTACCACCGTGACCATTTCTAAAAGATTTCAGATTGAGGGAAATTGTTCTTATGGGATCACTGGCACAGCACAATAAAATTCACTTACCTACAAAACTTGAAGCTTGGTTGCCACAAGAATTTAGGGAACTGGTACTGATGTAAATGAAAGATGTTACATCTGCTTTGGCAATACCCTGTAGTGCATACTGAGGTGGTTAGAAAAATTTGTTAGAACTGTTTCCGGTGAGATTTTGGCATTGGTAACCACAGTTTCAGTTGGGTTACACTAGGCCAACTTTTTGCGGATACTTGTTGTTCCTAAGGAAAGAATTGAAAACTGTTCTCACCAATAAATTAGTAATTTATTCCATGAGCGGCAAAAATTTCTCTAGATCCTTATTCAACTTAAGACTGGCTAAGAGCATAATATTCTTTAGGGGGCAGTAAGTGTCTCTCAATAAACCTTTTAAAATAGAATTCTCTCTCTTTTATTTATTTATTTTTTAAAATTAATTACATTGTATTATGTGACACAGGTTCCTAGGCTCTGGGATTCCCCCAACCGTCCCCAACCCCTCCCCCCATGGTGGATTCCTCCACCTTGTTGCAGCATTACAGATTAAATTCATTTGAGATTCTTTCATTTCAAGCATATACCAAGCAAAGAGTCCAGCATCTAATTGTCCAGTTACATTCAACTTTTATTAGACCTCCTCTACTTGGTAAAAAGTAAACTCCGTTCATGTTTGGAAATAAAATTGGAAATGATGAGGTGTGTAACTGTCCATATGTTCTAAACTGAATAATTCTTTTTCTTTTTAAAAATTTTATTCATTTTGATTTCATTTCAGAGAGACAGAGAGAGCGAGAGAGGAGAGAGAGAGAGAGAAATCTTCTTTCCTCTGATTCACTCCCCAAATGTACACACTGGTCGGAGCTGGGATGGTCTGAAGCCAGGAGTCAGAAGCTCCTTCCAGATTTCCCGTGTGAGTGCAGGAGCCAAAAGCCTTGAGCCATCCTCTGCTGCTTTCCCAGGCCAAAAGCAGGGAACTGTACCAGAAATGGAGCAGGTGAGATTTGAACTGGTGCTCATTTGGGATGCCAGCACTGCCGGTGGAAACTTAGTTATCTGTGCCATGGCTCCCCTTCTGATACAACTCCCTGTGAATGCACCTGGGAAAGCAGCTGAATATGGCCCAGGTGCTTGGGCCTCTGCACCCATGTAGGAAACCAAGCAGCAGCTCCTGGCTCCTAGTTCAGCCTGGTCCAACTCTGGCTGTTGTGGACATTTGGAGAGAGATCCAGCCAATGAATGAGCCCTCTCCCTCTCTTCCCTGTAATTTCACTTTTCAAATAAGTAAATAAATCTTTAGGAAAAAACAATTTGTTGCATATCATTACAGAATTTTATATTTTTATATATGTGTATATTTATACATACACTGTGAACTTAAATCCTGTAGAGGCCTCAGGCAGTCAGGATGCGAGCCAAGCTGTGAGGATACCCTGCAGCTGGTTCTTTAGGTTCCTAGAAGTTCATTGGCAGGTCTTGTTACCTGACCTTCCAATGAACCTCAAGCATGAGCAAGGAAACATAAGCCATGGCCAAGGAAACATCTGTTATGCCTTAAGAAGGAGTGAGCTTTCTGTCCCAAGGCTATTATAGGAAGAGTGATTAATAACCTAATTGTTTGCCTCTCCTTGCGCATTGATAATGTTCTGTGTGGGAATCAGTGTGGGACATAATTAACCTCCTTAAACGACATTCAAGTCTATTAGATACGACCATGTGTTCTTCGGTTTTCAATGGGGTATACTTTGATTTTCACTGGGACTGATAATGAAATGCAATCTGTTTATTTAAATTTGATTCATTGCATGTACTCCCTGTAAGGAAAGTATAAAACCTGTAACCAAATTCAGGTTTGCAGAACAGTCAACCTAGGCAACTAAGACTAATTGTTTTCATTTTACAATGCTCAGTTTGACCTGCTGAAAAATCCCAGCTTTGGTTTTTCAACCAGATTCTGATTTTTTCGGTTAACAACACAGATGCACATATATAAGCATCCAGTTACATAACAAAAGTAGCATTAATCTGTATTTGTTATCGGAACTCCAGCTGTGGAGTCAGTATTCGGTCTAATTATTCAGATGCTGTTTAAGAAACGTGTCCCAGGCCCGGTGCGGTGGCGCAGTGGTTAAGGTCCTCGCCTTGCACGCCCGGGATCCCATATGGGCGCTGGTTCTATCCCGGCAGCCCCGCTTCCCTTCCAGCTCCCTGCTTGTGGCCCGGGAAAGCAGTCGAGGATGGCCCAAGGCTTTGGGACCCTGCACCCGCGTGGGAGACCTGGAAGAGGCTCCTGGCTTTGGATCGGCATAGCATTGGCCATTGCGCTCACTTGGGGAGTGAATCATTGGATGGAAGATCTTCCTCTCTGTCTCTCCTCCTCTCTGTATATCCGCCTTTCTAATAATAATAATAATAATAAGAAGAAGAAGAAGAAGAAGAAAGAAACGTGTCCCACACCAGCAGACCTGAGTTTGGCACAAGGCCCTGGCTCCTGCCTCCAGCTTTCTGCTGATACAGACTTGTGGGAGTGTGTGGGCATCACAGTGTTGGCTCATGTAGCCGGGTTCCCACAACCCAAGTGGCAGACTGCATGCCCAACCCTTGCTTGGCTTTGACCTAGTCCAGCTCTGGCTGTTGTTGGCACCTGGACGGGGGAGGCGGGGGGACAGAGAACTGCATTTTGGAATCTCTCAAACAAACAAACAAACAAAAACAAAAACAAAAAACCTACCCTCAAACAAAAAACAACTAATTCAACTTCTACTTAATTTTAAAATAGTTGTGTAATACTTGAATCGAATCTTATATTATTTTCTCCACTCTTCCAAGTATGGACTTAATTCAGATTGTGTTATGAACCCCAAAATTGCTACTCTAGTAAAACCCTATGTTCAGCTTTTTTTTTTTTCAGCATTTATTTATTTATTTGACAGGCAGAGTTACGAGACTTGGGGGAAGTGTCAGAGATCTTTCGTTTGTTGCTTCACCATCCACATAGTTTAACAGCCAGGTCAGGACCAGGCAGAGCCCAGGATCCAGGAATTCCATCTGGATCTCTGTCTACATGGGTAGTAGGGCCCTAAGAATTTGGGATATCTGCAGTTTTCTCAGGGACATCAGCAGAAAGTTGGATTAGAAGCAAAACTGAACCAGTACTCTGATAGGGAATGTAAGAGGGTTAGTCTACTGCACCACAGGCTGTTCCCCACAACCATATGGAATTTCTGACTTACAGAAATGTAAGGTAAATTTAAATTGGTTTAAGTCACCGACTGTGTGGTAATTTTTTTTTAAAGATTTAGTTTTATTATTTTCTCATTGGAAAGGCGGATATACAGAGAGGAGAGACAGAGAGGAAGATCTTCCATCCGATGATTCACTCCCCAAGTGAGCCCAATGGCCGATGCCATGCCGATCCGAAGCCAGGAGCCTCTTCTGGGTCTCCCACGTGGGTGCAGGGTCCCAAAGCCTTGGGCCGTCCTCGACTGCTTTCCCGGGCCACAGGCAGGGAGCTGGAAGGGAAGCGGGGCTGCCGGGATTAGAACCGGTGCCCACATGGGATCCCGGGCGTGCAAGGTGAGGACCTCAACCACTTGCGCCACCGCGCCGGGCCCGTGTGGTAATTTTTTAACAGCAGCAAACAATCATAGATATTGTTACTGTGTTTCTTTATAATCAATGTATACTGTTGATTTTTGTCTTAAAACTTGACCTCAATTCCACACTCTTAGTAGAAATGTATCTATCGGTTATACTTTTACTCTTTCCTTTGAAAACAAAACAAAACAAAACCAAGAACAAAAACAAAAATGTTACTGTATGTATAAACCTGCCCAACAGTGCCGCACAGTTTTACTCTGTTTTTTAAGACAAAAAAAGAGGAGCTGAGATCTTTATCAGGTTTAAGATGGGCTGAAGATAGAGTTATCAGATAAAACACAGACCTACTAGTTAAGTTAAAAATTTACATGAACAGTGAGTAACTTTAGTCTAACTGTATGGAACACACAGTATTGTTAAATTCGTAACACCGCTTCTTAGCCCTGGTTTATATTTAAAACCAGAATGAAGAGTACCTTCCTCGGCTGTTAAATCCAGAAGAAAAGCCATCTAATTTAAACGTACTAGACCCAGCTATTCCAAAAGACCTCGGCAAAGTTGAGGTTTGGGCTCCGTTCGTTTCCTCTGGGAGCGAGTTCCAGCTGCCTCCAGGAGGGGCTCTGGGTCTGGGGGCTTTAGCCCCCGCCTGGACCGAGCACCTCTCCTCCCCAGCGGGGCGTCCCGGCCTCGGGGTCCCAGGTGGTCCAGCAAGCCTTGTTCCAACGCCGTACCACTTTCAGCCGCTTTGGCCCTTCTGGGCTACCGGCTTCCGCAGCGGTCACATGCTTCTGATCACGTGACAGGCACGCCTGTCATTCTACCGCTGCGGCTCCGACTTCCTTCTGCCTGTAGGATCCTCAACGTCTGCCCGGGGCGGGTTCCTCTTCGCGTTTTGGTCTCCTGGTCCCCCGCCGCTGCTCAGTCCTCCAGCCCTGGAAGGAGACCCCGAACTCTCCCCCGACTCGGCTCCCCAGCCTGGCCGTGGCCCCGGCGCCCCGCACCGCCGCACCTTCCCTTCCACCTTGGGGTGCGTTGTGGGGGCCCTGGGCTTGTTTTCCTCCGGCGTTTGCCCAGGTGAGGCTACCTTGGCGGTTTCTCGGGCTTTCCGGCTACGTGCTGCTTGTCGCTGCTCGTCTCCTCCTGACTTCCTCTTTCTTTCAAGGCCAGAATCGGGCTTGGGAAACCGGCGGAGTCTTCCCCGCAAGGGGAAGGAGTGTGAGGGGCGCAGGCCGAGTGGGGATGGGAAACCGTGCACACTCCCAGGGTTGACCACGACCCTGGTCTGTTGGAGAACCTAGCGCGCGTGGGTTACCGACCCGGGGTCTGGAAAGGCTGCTGGGCCCGAGCTTGCTTGTTGCAGAGTTCCAGACTGACCCGGACAGGGCCTGTTCTGCCTGGGCCCCGCCAGCGTATCCAGTCCCTGCTTGCTTAGGCAGCAGATCCTCAGATGAAGAGATTATGTTCCAGACTAAGGTCATTGGGAACGCGACTTAGAACTCTATGATTTTAGCTTCTTGTGGCCGGCTCGTGAATTGTTAGTTTGCAAATGGGACCCTATGTTTTGTGTCGTAATAAAAACCACCGGGTGAGTGGCTTGTTATTGTAGGCGCTTGTCTTCAGACAGGAGTCTTTGTTGACTGTACTTAAAATTGTGAAAGATATTTGTTGCAAAATTTTCTTTCAAAACTGTCGTTGAAAATGCTGTGAATTTTGATTGACAAAGAAAGCATTGCATTGTGAGGAATTGGTTTCCCATTTTGTGTGTTTTAACTTGAACCAATAATTGTAGGCTTGTAGAAAGACCTTATCATTTTTAATTTCTGAAAATGATGATTAGTAGTCATAAATAAAGTAATGGTGCTTATCTGTCAGAATTATCTGTCAAAAGGTGGAAGTTGATCTAAGTGTATGTTTAAAATAAAACATTTTTTGAATCGTCTACTTTTGATCATATGATTTCTGATGTAGATATCTTAAGAGATTACCCATAAAATCTTATAATAATAATATTGGTGACAACTTACAAAGCCTTTCTGGGGAAAAGAAAAGCCGCTACGAAACACACTTGTGAATCTGCACAGTTGGGCAAGGTTTGGAATCTAGTGAATGGCAGTGTTTTTTAACTTACGACAGCTTTAAAAAGTAATGACCGCTGGTATTCTTTTTTTTCTTTTTCATAAATCTAAGTTGAAAGTCTTTTTGAAAAACATTCAACTTAAATGACCAAAATGGATATCCGAGGCGCTGTGGATGCTGCTGTGCCCACCAACATCGTTGCTGCCAAGGCTGCAGAGGTTCGCGCGAACAAGGTGAACTGGCAGTCGTATCTTCAGTGAGTACCGATTTTCTGTGAATCACGGTTCATCATGTGCTTTTGCATCAGGCCTGTTCATGGTCATGCCTCTATGAGGGCAGTACTGGAAAGGTGCTCATAGATGTGGAAGAAACGTTTCCTCCTTAGAATAATTTTTTTTTGTCTTGGAAAAGGTATGTGGTGGAGGCAGCTGAGCCTCTAATGGGGAAGCGGAGTTGCACCTGGCACATTTGAGCTTCTCTGTTAAGTACTTCTTGGTTGAGTGGGAAGCGTGGGTGGAATGTTTACAGGTTGTGGAAGGAGGAGGACGTGATGGATAAAGTCAGCCAGGGTGTTTTGGCAGGACCTGCGGGTTCACGTGGGAACGAATGGCCTTGCTGAGTGGCTCACGTGACTAAGAAGTGTGCATGTTGGAGTTGTTGGGATCTGGATTTGGATTTTGATTCTCTATTAAAAGAGTGGTCTTAAAGCAAATCGCTTAATTTCCCTGAGATTCAGTTAAGCTAATGTGAAATGGGGATAAATGTCACATTGACTCCACGTAAAACGTTTTGATTCTTTTCCTTCCTGGTATGTATTAAGATTTAGCCTGGAGCTAAGGGAGTGGAAAGGCTGATTACCTGGTGTGAGTGGTTAAGTATGCATATGCGTGGAAAAGTTACATTCTGCCCCTTTTAAACTGTATAGGCACTACAAGTTAATCCAAAATTGAAAAAAAAAAAGGCTTTAGTGTTCTGGTGTTTTTGTATCCTGTATTTATCTGTAAAATGAGCATTTGTTTATTTTTGACCATATTTTATTCTTTCATATGTATTTTGCTCTATTCACAATATAATGACTTACTAAGGAAGTTTAGCTCAGCTTTGCATGTGTGTTTTGAAAAATAAATTTGGGAATCCTGTTTTTATATTTAGTAGTTGCTTTCCAGTATAAGGGACATGTATTACACAAAAACAATCCTTTGCATTTCTATTAATTTTGGGACTTTCAGCCATGCGTCTACTATCTTGACAGTTCTGAAACAACTCCTGCCCTTCAACCCCCAGCAGGATTTGGGGCTAAAAAAAAGATAACAGAATACTAAAGGAACTCACGTAGTTGCAGGAAAATCAGATGTATAAACAGATCATTTTTAAAAAGATTTATTTTATTTTTTATTGGGAAGTCAGATATACAGAGAGGAGGAGAGACAGAGAGGAAGATCTTCTGTCCACTGATCCATTCCCCAAGAGATCACTCTGCAGTGGCTGGAGCTGAGCCAATCCAAAGTCAGGAGCTTGGAGCCTGGAGCTCCTTCTGGGTCTCCCACATGGGTGCAGGGTCCCAAGGCTTTGGGCCATCCTTGGCTGCTTTCCCAGGCGACTAGCAGGGAGCTGGACAGGAAGCAGAGCCACCGGGATTAGAACTGGTGTCCATATGGGATCCCAGTGCATGCAAGGCGAGGACTTTAGCCACTAGGCCATGGCGCTGGGCTCTAAACATATCATCTTAGTTCAGGTAATGGAAAGATATCAAGGGTCTGATAGGTGTATAGAGAAAAGAGAGCAAATGCAGCCCCCGGAAGATTGCCTGATCTGATATCCTTAATCTGATATTTGAAGGAGAGTGTGTGTTTAGCCATGTGACCACAGCAGCGGCATGGGCAAAGGTAGGGAAGGGAAAGCATCATGCTGAGTGGGAGTGCTTTGTGTTTTAGAGGGAGGCAATAAGTCGGCAGTAGGGAGGCGGGAGAGACAGCCAGGGTCTGGTTGTAGAGCTGCTGTGTACCATTGGAAGGTTTCTCGATTTGATACTTTTCAAAGTGATTCTTAAGCTATGGTTGATGTGAAGACTATTGAGGACACTCTTTGTGGAAAGAAGATGAAAATGCTAAGTTGAGGTCTTCATCATCTCCAGTAGGGCTCAAAAAGTGACGTTTTAAAGTCACGGATTGCTGGAAACTGTTAACATTTGTGGTTGATACCAGATGATGAGATTGATTCTTGTGTGGATTGTCACGCCTTCAGTGTAAAGGCAGGAGGAGGCTGTAGATTGAAATGCATAGTATTGTACTGGGTAGAATTTATAGAGTGGGCGTGGTGCAATGGCCTAGCAGCTAAAGTCCTTGCCTTGAATGCATGAGGATCCCATATGGGTACCGCTTCTAGTCCTGGGAGCCCCACTTCCCATCCAGCTCCATGTTTGTGGCCTGGGGAAGCAGTCAAGGACGGCCCAAAGCTTTGGGACCCTGCTCCCGTGTGGGAGACCTGGAGGAAGTTCCTGGCTCCTGGCTCCGGATTGGCACAGCACTGGCTGTTGAGGTCACTTGGGGAGTGAATCATTGGATGAAGATCTTCTTTCTGTCTCTCCTCCTCTCTGTATATCTGACTTTGTAATAAAAACAAATCTTTTTAAAATTTTTATTTATTTATTTAAATTTCATTTTATGACACAGTAAAAAGAACTTACAGAAGTGAGAAAGTTTTTGATGTGTGTGTGTGAAAGAGAAGTCTGGAATTATACAATTTCCAGTTAAGGAAATGGATTATTGGTTGAGGACAAGAGAAGGATTGCTAGTTCTTTGTTCATTGCTATCTGTGTAGTTATTAAAATCCCCTGCGAGGGCCTGGCTCTGTGGCGCAAGTGGTTAAGGTCCTCGCCTTACATGCCCAGGATACCATGTGGGCGCCGGTTCTAGTCCTGGCAGCCCTGCTTCCCTTCCAGCTCCCTGCCTGTGGCCCGGGAAAGCAGTCCAGGACGGCCCAAGGCTTTGGGACCCTGCACCCACGTGGGAGACCCGGAAGAGTCTCCTGGCTTCGGATTGGCATAGCATTGGCCGTTGCGCTCACTTGGGGAGTGAATCATCGGACGGAAGATCTTCCTCTCTGTCTCTCCTCTCTGTATATCCGCCTTTCCAATAAAAAAATAATAATAAAAACAAATCTTTAAAAAAAAAAATCCCCTGCGAAATTAGAGGTCTGAGCTGTGTGCCCTAGTTTGTTTATCTCAGGGTGTAGTGCATTTAGACTAGAGGACAAGGAGTTTGTTGTTTTTAAGTCTAAATGTGTTTATAGTCCAAACAGAATGGTATTGTTGATCATAAAACACTGACTAGTGCAACTTTCCAACTCTCCTGTTTGGAACACTTTTAGTTACAGGAGTGTTTAAATTGCTTTCTCTGGTTTCTTTTATTAGTGGACCTCTATACCTCATACTTCCTCTTTTCCCTGTTTCTATTTATTCTATTGTCCAGCTCACAAATTTCTTTTATAAAACTCCTCCACTCTGTGGGTGTGTAAGAAGAATTCACCAGATGTAAACTGTGTGTGCCTGCTGTTTAACATATTGAGTGGGGACACTGGTGGGTGTTAAACAGACCTCTGTTGAAAGAGCTTACAAGATTGTTGGGGTTGAAACTGATAGATAGCTCATCCCATCACCATTGGTGGCTCCATCAGTGAAGTCAGTAATAATTGGGGAAACAGCTGAAGAAAGCAGAAATAGGGGCAGATAGTGCACTGGTAATTTCAGAGTTTGTTTTCTTATAACACAGGAGTGGATAGACAGTAGAAAACTTTGGGTTACTTTTTTTTTTTAAATAAGGATTTAAGCAGGGGGAAGTTGGCTGCCTTCTCTACTGGCTTTTCAAGGTCACATAACAACTTTGTTTCTGTTTGGTGCTAAGTGAATCTGTTTTGGTTTTTATTCAGTCTGTTGGAGCCTAGGATAGGAGTTTTGTCCAAAACACAGTGGCCTCCTATAGTTTTTATTTAATACTACCAAGGAAAGAGAAGAAAGTCTGGAAATTTTCTGTTAATTTGTTCCCAGTGGTTATTCATTTCTCAGTGAACAAAGCAATGCATTCTTGCTTTCCAGGGGGCAGATGATTTCTGCTGAAGATTGTGAGTTTATTCAAAGATTTGAGATGAAAAGAAGTCCTGAAGAGAAGCAGGAGATGCTTCAGACTGAAGGCAGTCAGGTGAGCCATATGCTTACTATACCATGAGCACTTTCCCATGTTATTAAGAATTCTGGAAAAATCTTAATGATGGTATGATATTGTATGGTAGGTATGCCCTATTACCTAACTAAAAATCTGTTTACTGGAAAGCATTTAAGTGATTTTCAGTTTCCTTTTGTATTTTTTATAAAAATGTTATATTGAAAATGTTTATATCACCATGTATATATTTGAGTACTTTCTCAGCAGAACTTTCCAGAAGGTAACTGTTTCAAGATGTACAAAGTTTTAAAAAAAATGCTTAACTTTTTTTTAAAGAAATTTTTTTCTACTTTAGTTCTTATGAATGATGTTTGGAATGCTTGACATTTGACTCACTAAGTTAAAAGAGATGCTACTCTAACTATATATAGTGGAATTTCTTTCCAATTTTTCTGTCCTCATTGTCTTTTCACTTTTATTTATAGTTTTGATAAATCTTGATTTATTTAGACAATTTTTAAAAAAATAATCTTACTTAGTTGATTAAGGTACAAAGGGTCAAGGGCTACAGGAAAGTGGGTAAGACCATTGTTTCCACACTAATATCATCACTTTTTTTCCCCTGTATCTGAGGTCAGGAGAGAAACAAAGGTCCCCGATGTGAGGCGCGCTCCGAGGGTTCTGCTCAAGCAGTTTTGATAGTTCAACAGTTCTGAATTGCTGCCAATCTTGCTGTTCCAAGCACGATGAAATCTATTCAGAATCCACTGGCTGACATAGTCTCTTCATGATTGGGGTTCTGAGATCAGCAGTTCAGTTGGAGGGATCTCCAAAGAAACTTCATCTGAGGTGATCCCAGACCTGATTCTTGTGTGTGCTTGCCAGTACAGGGTCTGGCACAGTCCATCGCCCGAATCAGCTTACGCATGTGCTGATCGTTGCAGTTGCGGGTCAGTTCTGTTTCCAGCGCTGTCTTCCACGCAAGGCAATGGGTGTTGTAGTCCAGCTCAGTCCTGCCCACTTCATACTCAGTCCTCATGCAAACCAGTGGGAGCTGCAGCCTAGTTGGGGTGACTCCCTATAAACTCCACCAGGCCTGCCCCCTACCCTGGTTCCCATCCATGCCAGTATGTACTGCAGACTTGTTCAGTCTGTCCCACATCCCATTTAGCTTTCGTACATGTCAATGGGCATTGAAGCCTAGTTCAACCCAACCAACCTAGTATCCAGCCCACACACATACTGGCAGGTGCCTTTCTGTCTAGCCACCCCTGCCCCAGTCATGGTTTTCCTGTTCTCCAGTGGAAGTGGTAACCCAAGAGGGAGGTGCCCACTATCTCCCTACTAAACCACTCCCACTCCCGATTATGCACTCTCCAGGTGGTTCTGCAGTTTAACTTGACAGATTAAGTCCCCAGTGCCAGCCTCTGCCAACTGATGCTGCTGGAAAGCCCAACCAACCCTCACCCACTTTGATTTTTTGCTTGTACCAGTTGGATCAGTCAGCCCAACCTGGTTTTTCCCTGATCTAGCTCACATGAAGCTCACAGGTGTTGTATCCCTGCCTGGTCTGGTCTGCCCCATCCCAGCTCATGCTCTCCAGTGGGAGTGGTTGTCCAGCAGGGGAGCCCACATTCTCCCTGCTGTCCTTGCCCCCTAACCCCTTGGTTCTCATGTGTGCTGCCGTTTGGGTGCTGCGACCACATCCGGTACAGCTCACTCTACCCTGACATTCTGTAATGTGCACCGATTTGTGTCGCGACCGATCCTGGCCCGACCCACACTCTATTCTGATGCTCAGATTCACCAGCAGGTGATGTGAATGGGTTCAGCCTGGTCTGCCCCCCACCTGTGCCATATGTATGATGGTGGGTATCTTCCTCTGGCCTGCTCTGGATTGATCCTTATTGTGGTTCTTACGCTCACCTGTAGGGACTGTGTTCTGACAGAGGAGTTTCTGATTTAGACAATCTTTTTGCATTGAAAAATTATGAAAATGTTTTTCATATTTGTAGCAAATATTGTTTCCTTTTTAACTTTTTATTTATAAGATTTATTTATTTTTATGGGAAAGGTAGATTTGCAGAGAAGAGACAGAGAGAAAGATCCTCTATCTGCTGGTTCACTCCCCAATGGCTGCAGTGACCAGAGATGAGCCAATCTGAAACCAGGAGCTACTTCTGGGTCTCTCACGTGAGTGCAGGGTCCCAAGGCTTTGAACCATCCTCAAGTGCTTTCCCAAGCCATAAGCAGGGAGCTGGATGGGACATGGAGCAGCTGGGACATAAACTGGTCACATGAGATGCCAGGTAGAGGATTAGCTAGTTGAGCTGTCATATCAGTTCCACCTTCTTTACTGTTTATCTTTGAGTTGTTTTGGACTTTTTCATATACAATTGTTTATGGAGTTACGTATGTTGAGGTTTTACTTCCTTCTGAGATACATGTATGTTTCAGAAAAATGGGAAAATGTTATTAAATAAAAATAAAGCACTTAATTTTAAGATTTATTTTTTTTTATTTTGATTGGAAAGCCAGATTTAAAAAGAGAAGTAGAGACAGAAAAATCTCCATCTGCTGATTGACTTTCCAAGTGGCTGTGATGGCCAGAGCTGAGCCAATCCAAGGCTGGAACCCAGGAGCTTCTTCTTGGTCTCCCACATAGGTGCAGAGTCCCAAGGTTTTGGGCCATCCTCAACTGCTTCCCATGCCACAAGCAGGGAGCCGGAGGGGCTGTGTAGCAGTCAGGATATGAACCGGTGCCCATATAGGATGTGGGTGCATGCAAGGCACAGACATTAGCCACTAGGCTACAGTGCTGGACTCTGTAAGGATTTTTTCTGTGGCTTTTAAAAACAATTGGGTCATTTTCCATTTAATGAATGAATCATAATCCCTTCATGTCTTAGTCCCTCTGCTATAAGTATAATTGTGTTGGACATTCATTTTTCTTCACAACAGATTCTAGAAATGTAATTATCAATCAGCTTGAGTGCTTGAGTTTTTGATGTATGTCCTGAAGATGTTTGATTTTTAAAGATTTAATTTATTAAAAAAAGTTTTCCCATCATATATATTTTTTAAATATTTGTTTATTTTGTATTTGAAGGTAGATTTATGAAGAGAAGGAGAGAGAGAAAGAGTCAGTGTTGCATCCATGGTTTCTCACCACAATGGCCAGAGTGGCTGAACCTGAGCTGATTGAAACCAGGAGCCAGGAGTTTCTTCTGGGTCTCCCACATGGTGTAGGGGCCTGAGGACTTGAGCAATCCTCCACTGCTTTTCCTTTCCATAAGCAGGGAGCTGGATTGGAGGTGGAACAGCTGGCTCTAGTGCTGGCGCTTGCCAACTGATGCTGCAGCAAAGCCTGACCAGCCTGTACCTTCTCTGGCACATGTAGATTTGGCAGCAGTGGATACGGTCACTTAGCCCAGCCTGGCTTTCCCCCTAACCTAGCTTGCTTGCAGGCTGACATGTTTTTAGGCCTGCACAGCTTGGTCTACTCCATGTCTCAGCTTTCACACTCACCAGCAGGAGCAATGGCCCAGCTCGGGATTCCCACCCAGCCCCTCTAGCAGGCTTGACACCCCTTCACCCCCCCACACACCTAGGGTGTTACATGTGCTGGTGGATGCTGTGACCCAGTCATGCTTACCTCATGTCGGCATTTGGTGGCAGGTGCTGCAACCTGGCGTGGCCCCACTTGTCCCCGATTTGGTGGGTGCTGCAGCCTAGTCCAGCCCAGCCCAGACTTTAGTCCTGGCCCTTATGTGAACTGGCTGGTATTGTGGCCCCACCCAGCCTTTCTTGCATCCTGAACTGGCTCTCAGATCTGCCCATGGGTGTTATGAACTGGCCCAGCCTGGCCTGTCCCCAAACCTGGCCCACATGAACCATAACCTGGCCTGGTCTGGGCTGCTTCCGGGTTCCATTCTTGCACTCACTTGCAGTGACTGCATCCTGACAGAGGAGTTTCCTTTTCTCCCTTTCTAGTTCATTCTGATGTTTATCTCGAGATGTCTTCTTACAAAACCTTCTATTGACTATGAAGACTTCCAGTAGGTCTCGTCTAGTTAGGTAATTCAGATGAACTCCGTCTCAAAATGTTCCTTTTAACAGCGTCAATGTATAAACATGAATGTAACAACAGTGACTAACATAAAAAAATTAAAAAAAATTTTTTTCGCTTCTTATGTACCCATAGTGACTACTTCTTTATTTTTTTAAATGACTTTATATTTCTGTGGAAGTGTTTATGCTGTTCCTCCTGATTTGTTAGATTCCTTTCTGTGTATATATGTAAGGTTCTGTGTGTATTTTATTTCCCTAGCCTGTTGCTTGAATTTTAAGCTCGGTTTACGGAATTCTTTGCCACATGGACTGCAAATTGTGCAATCAAATCTATTGCCTTTTTTCCTTTGTAATGTTTGATGTCCTTTTTTGAAAGAGTTTCCTCACCCATGTACATACATACCAGAAGGTCCATCTCATTTTGTAGACTAGGCAACCATGAGTGTTGAATCGTTGGCATTTGCAAGTGACACTGAGAAAAGAGTGTTAATAAGTCAGGATAGTTCTCTTAATAAGTTAGACAGTTCTTTCTTAACTGCAGTAGTAGGTGTAGTGGGTCTTTTATTTTTTTTAAAATTTTCCAGGATACACTTTTAGATATCTTGCTTTTTTAGGGCAAGGATTTCCTCCTTTGCCTCCCTTTATCTTTACGCAGATATGCAGAGAGAGGGAGATACAGAAAGATCTGTCCACTGGTTCACTCCCCACATGGCTGTAACATCAGGAGCTGAGCTGATAGGAAGCCAAGGGTCTCCCATGCAGCTGCAGGGTGCCAAGGCTTTGGGCCCATCCTTGAGTGGTTTCCCAGGCCACAAGCAGGGAGCTGAATGGGAAGTGGAGCAACCAGGGCACAAACTGGCTCCCAGATGGGATCCTGGCACAGGCAAAAGGCAAGAATTTAACCGTTAGGCTACCATGCTGGGCCCCCAGCTCCCTTCTAATGCTTCAGAGAAGGCAGCAGAAATGAGTCAGGTTCTCAGGCCCCTGCCATCCACACAGGTGCCCTGGATAGAGAGCTGGATGCTGGGTGTGCTTTGCCACACTCCATCTATCTTGCCGATAGTATGAGCCAGTGGGTGGAAGTTCTGCCTATTATTTTTATCCTTTTTTCCCTCTGACTCTGCCTTTCAAGGAGCAAATCTTTTTCTTTTCTTTTCTTTTTTTTTTTTAAGATTTATTTATTTATTGGAAAGTCAGATATACAGAGAGGAGGAGAGACAGAGAGGAAGATCTTCCTTCCGATGATTCACTCCCCAAGTGCACGCAACGGGCCAATGCTATGCCAATCTGAAGCCAGGAGCCAGGAACTTCTTCCAGGTCTCCCACACAGGTACAGAGTCCCAAAGCTTTGGGCCGTCCTCTACTGCTTTCCCAAGTCACAAGCAGGGAGCTGGATGGGAAGTGGGGCTGCCGGGATTAGAACCAGCGCCCATATGGGATCCCGGTGCGTTCAAGGCGAGGACTTTAGCCGCTAGGCCACACCGCCGGGCCCAACAAATCTTTTTCAAAAAGTACATTCTAAGTGACCTTTTTTGACACTTCCTCATAATTTCCTCTAATTCTTATCTGTAACTTAATGTTATTTGTATCTATTTATGAAAGAAAATGTTTTACTGAAGTTAAACTAAAATGTTTATTTTGGAATGGAAACTAATTAAAAAATTTTTTTCTAGTGTGCTAAGACGTTTATAAACCTGATGACTCACATCTCCAAGGAACAGACAGTGCAGTACATCCTGACCATGGTGGATGACATGCTGCAGGTAGGCAAGTCTTACTGCTGTTGCTGGTGTCATCTGTTTCTGCATCGCACAAAACCAGCATGTTTGTAATTGCAAACTTTCACTTGTAAGCATTGGTTCTTTAATCAGGTGTTACAATCACGTACTTTTCAAAATTATGTGAATTGCGATTTGCTAATGGTAGCAAAGATGAAAATGCTTGCATATTGTATTTCAGGATATCAGGTAATCAACATGTATTTTTCCTTGAGATACCTTAGTTTTTACTGAACATGAACAGAATTGATGTATCACTTAAGCCTTTCTGGGTGCTCTGTGTATTTATTCATACGGCTCCCTCTCTTTGAATTAGTCAACAGATTTTGGTGCCCGTATGTTCTAGGCCAGTACCAGACTCTAAAGGGTTGACGTGTTTGTTTTCTTTAAGAACAGTTTTGCTTATTATCTGCAATGTTTCCATTTGTACAACTTTTCTGTTTATTTTGTTGTCTCTGAATGCATGGGGGGTTCCTTTATTCATAATTTTGTGTTTTATACTGGAGCCAAGTCTAGGCTGAGACGTGTGCAGAGCAATTCCTTTTTTTACAGTTGCTTTAAATTTATCAATTTTCTGTGGGAGAAGTAATGTCTTATTATAGTGAATTTTTCTTAGAACAAGGAGAATCTTTCTGTTTGCTGAAAGCTTTTGAATCTCCAGGGGGGTTGTCATGTTTTTACATAAAGATTTTGAATATTTTTTAAGTTTTTGCCTGAGTATCCTGTCTTGTTACTGCTGTAAGCAGTATTTCTCTTCTGTTATATTTGTTATTTTTTCTATTTGTGTGAATGCTCATTGTTTTTGGATGTGAATTTTGTGACGTGATGAATTTATTTTATGATTAGATTCTGTTTCCCCCAGGATTTATTTTCTCCTTGATAGAGTTACAGAGAGAGGGAGAGATAGAGTTATCTTCCATTTGCTGGTTCACTCTCCAAATGGCCATAATGGCCAGAGCTGAGCCAGTCTGAAGCTGAGAGCCAGGAGCCTCTTCCCACTATCCCACATGGGTGCAGGGGCCCAAATCCTTGGACCATCCAATACTGCTTTCCCAGGTTTTGTAAGCAGGGAACTGGATCAGAAGTGGAGCAGGCAAAACCAGAACTATTGCCCATGGGGGATGCTGGTGCTTGCAGGGGGAGGATTAGGGTGCTATGCCACTGCATCAGCCCCAATTCAATGATCTTTTAATGTATATAAAGGCACTCTCTGCAATTAGATATTTTGCTTTTCTAAATCTTATGTTTCTAATTTTATTATTTTGTTCTTTGTTTTTCTTCATGGATATAGCTACCAGTGTTATATTTGCTCCATAAAAAGAACTTAAGAAGGGGTCCAGTGCAGTGGTTCAGTGGCTAAATCCTTGCCTTGAACACACTGGGCTCTCATATGGGCACCGGTTTGTGCCCTGTCTGCTCCACTTCCCTTCTAGCTCCTTGCTTATGACCTGGGAAAGCAGTTGAGGATGGCTCAAAGCCTCTGGGGCTCTGTACCCGTGTGGGAGAACCGAAGGAAGCTTCAGGCTTCTGGCTTTAGATTAGCTCAGCAAATGCCATTGCTGCAGCTTGGGGAGTGAAGCAGTGGATGGAAAATCATGGTCTCTCTCTCACCTTCTCTCTGTAAATCTGCATTTCCAATAAAAATAAATAAATCTTTTTAAAAAAGAAAAGAACTTAAAGGGGAATGGTACAATGGTGTAATGAACTGAATCTCACCCTGTGGTGTTGGCATCCCACCTGGGCACAGTTCTAGCCTTGGCTGCTCCTCTTCTGATCCAGCTACCTGCTTATAGACTGGGAAAGTAGCAAGGGATGGCTTGGGTCCTTGGGTCCCTACACTCATGTTGGGGACCTGGAAGAAGCTCCTGGCTTCGCATTGGCCTAGCTCCAGCATTGCAGCCATTTGGGGAATGAACCAGCAGGTGGAAGATCTTTGTCTTCCTTCTGTCTGTAACTTTGCCTCAAATAAAAACAAAACATTTTGAAATTTTCCTTCATTTGCTATGTTCTGCAACAGTTTATTTCCCATTGGGACTATCGTGACTTTGAAGTCCTGGTTAAACATGTTTGAACCAGGTTATTTTATTGTGGAGATTTTTTTTTTTCCCTTTGATAGCTTTCTCTGTGTTTTTTTTTTTTTTTTTTTTTGCTACAGATATTAGTTATCAAAGCCTTTCATCTCTATTGGTGACAGTTTTGATAATTTATAGTTTCATTGAGTTTTTTTGGTGGAAAAAACAGTATTTTAATTAAGTCTCATGTTAACTGTTTTGTTATTTCAGTCTTACATGCCTCATATTCTTTCTTGTCTATGCTTTAATTTGCCTTTTCAAATTAACTTTAATAATATTTTGTTTTTAAAAGTTTCTTTTGACGTTTAGGAAGGTTTCTATCTTTGTGGCTTTCCTCTACTCGTGCCAGGAATTTGGGTAATCTACAAAGATTTACAAAGCTCACAAGTACTCCTCTCTCCTTGCAGTGAGGGGCTGTTGGTTTAGTGGATGATTTTTGTTTTGGTAGGAGGAACTTGCGTGTACTTTGACATTTAGGGGATGGTTCTGATTTTGTTTCTTCCTCTCTCTATCACCCAGTCTCCTCTTTTTACTTTGTAATTTCTCTGAAGTGATGCCTTCCCAAGGTTACTATCTGCTTCTTGCAGTCAGTGCCCTCGTCTACTAGGAGATTTTCTTTTCCCAATTTCTTTATAATTAGGACTTTTTTTGGTTGTTTTTTGGTGATTGCAGGCTGACCTTCAGACCTCTTCCATCGCCAGTATCCTTCTGCTGTACACATTTTCCACACCTACTGTACTGTCTACAAAGATTTGAAGTATGAAAGTATTTTGTTGGGATTTGGTGCTAATTTTATTTCCTTTTTTTTAAAATTAAGATTTATTTATTTTGCTTTTGAAAGTCAGAATTACAGAGAGACAGAAGGAGAGGCAGAGGGGTCTTGTATCTGCTGTTTCATTTCTCAAATCACTGCCACAGCCGGAACTGGGCCAGTCCAAAGCTGGGAGCTGAGAAAGTACAGGGTCTCTCATATGGGTACAGGGTTCAAACGCGCAATGTCCCTGCTGCTTTCCCAAGCCTTTAGCGGGAGTTGGATCAGAAGTGGAGCAGCTGGGACATGGACTGGCACCCAAGATGCTGGCACCACCAGAGGAGGCTTAGTGTGTGATATCACCGCACCATCACTGCTAATTTCCTTGTGGTTAACTTAGACACTTGTTTGTTCTCTGTCTTATTATTTTGAAGGCAATGGTTTCGTGTAGTTTATCTGGTGTTTGTTTACATGTGTTTTTAAGGATCAGTAGAGGGATTCAGACATACAGATTTAGGTAGATGATTCTGTCTTCAGCCACCAGGTTTGTATATTCATTCATATCTCTATCACTATTGCTGTCTATCTCTGTCTCTGTCCCACTATCTGTCTTTGAGAGGATGAAGAGGGTCAAGAGGTGGGAAAGAGTGCGAGTATGCCCAACTGCTTGTTTATTCTCCAAATGCTTGTAGTGACCAAAACTTGGCCAGGCCAAACCCATTGAGGGTTGCTGGGACCAATGTACTTGAGCCATCTCTGGAGCAGTCCACACTGGCAGGAATCTAGATTAGGATAACCCAGATACTCCACTCAGCATCTGACACAACGATCTTAACTGCAAGCCCAAACACCAGCGTAGAAGAACACACATTGATGGGACATGAAATGGAAGACTGAGAAACAGTGCAGTGTCTGTATGTTCTTTGACAACATTCATTCTGATTAATGATATCTCTTTTTTAGGAAAATCACCAGCGTGTTAGCATTTTCTTCGACTATGCAAAGCGTAGCAAGAACACTGCTTGGCCCTACTTCCTGCCAATGTTGAATCGCCAGGATCCTTTTACTGTTCATATGGTAATTTTGAATTGGTCATGTTCTCAATTTTTTTTTTTAAACATTTTGAGAAGGGAATCTATTTTTAAATATCCTTTAAAAATTTACGGAACAAATTGTGATATTAAGCAAGGAACAGACTTACTATTCTAAGACTGATGAACTGTGACATTGGCTTCTCTTGGTGCTCAGTAAAGAGGGTTCACTGGAGGATCAGAGGGAGTTAAAGTTTTTAAAATTGTCAGGATGATTTCATTAGCAGCAAAATCTGTGGTGACTTGACACATGTCAACAGCTCTAGCCTATCTAGAGCAGAATTAGCCACATGACTGTAGAACAATTAATTTTGCTTTCTGAGAGGATATTTGGCAGCCACAGCGCTGAAGAATCTTATGGCATCTGGAGAAGAAGAAGGTCAAGAAAATAAACCTTTGTGCAGCTGCGTCTTCCTAATTCGCAGCATGGAGTGGGCCGCATGCGGGCAGCCGCAAGACCTGGGCAGTGGCCCCGAGGATGTTTTTAAGGTTTTCAGATCAAGGACCCTCCAGGAAAACATTGCTGAGCATGTGTTCTTTCCCTGCCTTTCTTCACTCTTGTTACATATATATCCATATTAATTTATATGCTAGTATATTCATATGTTGTTGACAGTATATAACATTTATATGAAGAGAAAAAGGAGGACTCATAAGAATAGAGTGTAAAAACTCAGTAACATATTCTTTCCAATTACAGAAACTTGTTTTTGCTACCTGGATTCCTGATTTAAATGTCTCTTGGTATTATAATATAATTAACAGATTATATTACAGAGCAAGTATGCACTAAGGGCGTGATTTATTAGTATTAATTGTGTAGCTAAATTCATGTTAATGTGTCATAAAAACTTTCTGTTTGATTAGTCTTTTAAATTTTGAGGGTCAGATTGTCACACTATGCACTGTTGAAAAGCCTGTGCTAAGGAGCAGGAGTGTCAGGTCGCATGTTCCTTTGTCTTTCCTCTGTGTTATGTACTTACTGCTGCTAGTAATATTTTTAGTCTCTGGGTTCCATACAGGAGCCTTAGGAAGTCAGTTGTCTGTCTTGTGAAAGATCAGTTTGTTCAATACTGTATCTCTGGAGTCTCTGTGGTAACTGTATTGAGTGGGTAAAGGGGCTCCAGTATAGCCCTGTAGAGCAGGATTCCACACACATCGGGATGCTCAAGCAAGTGTCTTGCATTATGGCTTTGGAAATGTACCTCTGTCAGTTCGGGTCAATAGCTGTTTGTAAACATAACAAGCATCAGGCTATCAGGACAGGCATGTACTTTGAGGTTAGCTCGTCTCAGCCTTCCCTTTCCAGTGATTTTATTTTTTGCCGAATACTTGGCATTTTAAAGCGCTGATTTAAGAATGTCCAGAAGGAATATTAATTTTTTTATTTAAGGAAATGATATTTTACAATGCTTACTTAATGAAAAAATGGTACTTTTAATTACTTGAAGAAAATTTAAAAATATTTATGGAGAGAAGGATATTTGTTTAATTTGAGAGAGAGAGATGAGTATCTCATTCTTGGTAATAAATGGGATATGGTTTTGTAAGCATTGAAACACACAAGGGGCTTAGATTGATTGAGATTGGCTGGAAAGTTTGCTGAAAATGCTGTCAGATTTCATCAAAGTCGGCCTGTAAAAAGAGTTGTTGTGTTCTTTAAATTTTGCTTATCTTAATGAATCCCAGCCCTACTTTTGGAACTCTAAATAATGCAAATCTCATTTGTACATGGAGTTTGAAAATCCAGGGTGATTGCATTGAATTTAGAAATACAGTTGTGGTTATGAGTCAGGGGAGGGAAGACTGATTTGTGAGTACTAAGTTACTGCTAGGTAGGAGTAAGAAGTTTAGATGTTTCATTGCACAGCAGGGTGACTGCAGATCCTGCTAATGCAGTGGATATTTTGCTATGAAGAAACCAACTGAATGAGATTTGTGGGTGCTTTGGTTTTAAAGGAATGCTAAAATTTGAATCAATAACGTATTTGTGTTGGTTGGACACGGTGTATATGTGTGCATATAATGTACATGTGTATGAAACATTACCTTGTACCCCCCAAATATGTACAGTTTTTAAATACATCTGTTAAATTAGAAAAAATAAAAATGGAAAAAATACAGAGAATGTTACAAAATTCCAAAATGTAGCTAATTTTGGTTTACTATAATGGAAATACTTAAAAATGCATTTTGAATGTTTGTATTTCAAACTGTGTTTCTAAGAATGAATTATATAAATTATGATTTTGGGAACAGGTGAATGTTAGAAAAATTGTATAGCAAGGTGGTTACAAATCCTGCACTTGTAAGAAAGACAATGAGATTTTTAGGATCGGTAGAGCATAAGTGCATTTCTCTTTTGTTTTCAGGCAGCAAGAATCATTGCCAAGTTAGCAGCCTGGGGAAAAGAACTGATGGAAGGCAGTGACTTAAATTACTATTTCAATTGGATAAAAACTCAGCTGAGCTCACAGGTAAAAGGAATTGCTTCTAGTATATTTTGAGCAGAATGTTAAGATCCATGTTCTCTTAAAGTCTTTTGCCGAATATGTTACTTTTTTTGTTTTTAAGTAATGCCTTTGAACCTGGAAGTTCACTGCCCTACTCCTAAATACAGTAGAATGCGTTCCATTTCTTTCTTTGGCTGTAGTTCAAACTTTCTATTTTTCCTGCCCCTCCGTGTTTTCCACTCCTGTTTTTCAGAGATCAGGGAGTATCTTTCTTTTATCTTCCTTTTAGATGGCTGCCTAGATTACAGGACTCTAGGTTGGAGGAATTTTTTTTTTTTATTATGTTTTATTGGAAAGGTGGATATACAGAGAGGAGAGACAGAGAGGAAGATCTTCCGTCCAATGATTCACTCCCCAGGTGAGCCCAACGGCCGATGCTATGCCGATCCGAAGCCAGGAGCCTCTTCTGGGTCTCCCACGCGGGTGCAGGGTCCCAAAGCTTTGGGCCGTCCTCGACTGCTTTTCCGGGCCACAGGCAGGGAGCTGGAAGGGAAGTAGGGCTGGAGGGATAGAACTGGCACCCGTATGGGATCCCGGGTGTGCAAGGTGAGGACCTTAACCACTTGCGCCCCCGCGCCGGGCCCGGAGGAGTTTTTTTTAGAGATTTATTTATTTACTCGAAACTGTTACTGAGAGGAAAAGACAGGAGAGGGAGTGTGTGTGGAAAGACTGCTTATTCACTCCCCAAATGGCTGCTACGGATTAGGCTATATGGATGCTAGGGTTGGGTCAGCCCAAAGGCAGGAGTCAGGAGCTTCATCCAGGTTTTCTAGTGGGTGACAGGATCCCCAGTTCTTCAGCTGTCTTCCCAGAAGCATTGGTAAGGAGCTAGATTAAAAATGAAACAGGACTTAAATCAGTGCTCATATAGGATACTGGCATTGCAGCAACTGCTTAACTAGCTATGTTGCAATGCTGGCCCCATAGATTGGATAGCTGAATTAACCTGCACAATTTCACAATGTGAAGACTTGTGAGACTTGTGACAGAGGAATAGAAATGGTAGAGCCCAAAGAGTGTGCAAGTGAGCTGAGGTGTCAACAGACTGTAGTCATAGCTTTGGCATGTTTCTCAGGATTATGAACCACCAACATTTGTGCAAAAAAAATCTTTGTTTTGGGAGAGTTGTGTGAAAATTTCTAGTGGAGTTAAGCCCTTTTGGTAATATATCCAGGCCAAACTGTCTGTCAACGATACCAAAAAACCAAAGACCCTGGGTGCTGCCCAGGGAATTTATTACTGCAGATAGCACATTACAGATCAGTGGTCGTTCTCCTTGGGTTGGCCTTGCTGGTATCCATCAGTAAGCTTGGATCTGCCCCGCCCAGTTGCAAGATGAGTCCGCCATAGTAGCTCATTCTCATGATTACACAGCTTCATGGTAGGATTGAATAGTCAGGCTGGACATTAAGGCATGAAGTCTGCTTATTGGTCACTTAGTTGTATTCAGGCCTTTCTAGTTTTACTTTTCCCTGGAAGAAGGAAGTTTCCTGGTGTGACAGCTGGGAAAATGGAGATTTTTCTGTGTTTGCTCTCATGGCTCTTCAGAATGGGGAAAAGACAGGACACTTAGTGTGATTCTGCGGAGGCTTTCTTTTAGGCTACTAGTAAGTAAATGCTATGTATTAAGATGAGAACTTGTATGAAAGATGCTCACAAAAGAAATGAAATGAAGATGGTGTGGGCACCATGTAAATCAGAAAGCAAAGAGGAGTGTGAGATTCCAATGTGGGTTGGGTGACGTGAAGAAAGGAGACCAGGAGGAGTAACTTTGCCGGTTGTGTGTTGCCAACTATAGATTACAAAGACATATCTGTTTGAAAGAGACTTAGCAAGTTGTAGATTGCAGGCAACTTGGCTGGCATTATTTTTATAGGTTTTAATTTGTGGCATGAGAGAGAGATGCTGTGACATCACTGTTGGCCTTATTATTGTTTACCTTTGTGGGGGAACCTAATTTCCTTTTGTATTTGGATGGCTATTTATTTTTAAGATTTATTTATTTATTTGAAAGTCAGAGTTACAGAGAGCAAAGAGAGACAGACAGAAATGTTCCATTGGCTGGTTCACTCCACAGAAAAATGCAATGGCCAGGGTTGGACCAGGCCAAAACAAGGAGCCAGGAGCTTCATTTGGGTCTTCCACAAGGGTGCAGGTGATCAGCCAGTTGGGCCATCCTTTGTTTCTTTTCCAGGCCATTAGCAGGGATTGGAAGTGGAACAGCCAGGACAGGACACAGTGTTCATAAAGTTGCCTGCAGCTTTACTCGCCATGCTACAACAGTGGACTCTGGATGACTATTTTAATGTCTTGAATAAAAGTAAATCTTTTTAATGTCGATACTATTAATTTGGTCTCTTTCTGGACTTAGTTTTTAAAGATATTTTTTGGTATGAACCACCAATTTCTAGATTTTACTGTTTGTGAGGTATTTCAAAATCCAGATATTTAAAACATGGAAAGTGGGTATCTGAAAATAATGAGGTTTTGAATTTCTGTTATTACTTTGAATTGAAATGCTTAAATAGGAAAGTTTCCTTTCCCCCATTTCCTCCTTTGAAATCCTATCTCTTTTAAGGTTCATCCTGCTTCAATGTTACACACTTTCTGATATGATGAGAGTAAGGGCCTGTTGTAACTAGAGTCATGAACCAAAATTGGTGGGGATGAATATCTACTACAATATACTGCTACTAGCTTTGTGGGCACTTTGACCTTCGGCTTTTCCTAGTAGAAGTCATGTTTGTATCTTACATGACAGGTGACTTATCACTTCTGGAATGGTTGACTGGTTGTAACCATGTCCACCAACTTTGGGGTTGCGGTGGGAGGACATTTCCATCCTCTGAGTAAAAACAAGTATCTCAATGTCTAGAACACTTGTTGTTAGGACTGAACTGCATTTATTAGATAAGTGCCCCTTAAGGCCTCTTCTGTGTCCTTTGAGCACTCTTTTCTGGTCTTTGACTTTGGCTCATGGTCTGGCCTTTCTGTTCTGTGATTCCTAAGCCTTAAGAATGTTGTGCCCCTCTGCACAGGGCACCAGGTGCAACTGGCTTTGCTTTCAAGTCTAGTCATGCTTCTGCCTGTCTCTGATGGCACTGTCTGGCTGTGGGCAGACACTTTATATGTACGCCTGGAGCCTTTGGTCAGGGTTAAGTTGTAGATTCCTTGTTGAAAGTAATATAGCTACTGTGCTCAACATCACGCCTCTGGTGTGTCAGGAAGGTCTCTTTTTCTCTGTTGTAAGTGTATTCTTTCTCAAAAGAAGATCAGGGCTTCATGATTGAAGTAGAAGCAAACTTTCAAAGTCCAAGTTAATTGCAGCTTCAAGTTGTTTATGCTCTACTTTATGTGGCATTTGGAAGCCTTCTATTGGTAGCTTAGCACAAACAGGGTAATTTCTTCCCTGTTGCTCTTTTTTGTCTAGACCACTTAGTAAGAAGACACTAGTAGTCATTGAGTAAGACAATACCAAAAAAAATTCTTTGATAAATTAATTATTCCTATTCTCTTTCAACCCTGACTTTCTGCTTTGTTTCTTTGGTTGTTCCTGTAGAACACCTGAGGTTTTGATTGTGGTTGTAACTTGTTAGCACCACCCTGGATGACTTCAATGGAAGAACCATGTGGTCTCTTTCTGCTATTCGGCACCTATTTTGCAAATCTTCTTTGTCCTAGAACATGGTGTAAATTGTTCAATTTAAAGCAGTCATCACACTGGAAAAATCATTTAATGTGTACATACTGCAACTTGAAGTTTACACTTTCCACACAGAATGGTCTGGAGCTTTTTATTCATTTTGTTATTGGTCCAGTTTGCATAATTTATCAAACTATCTGGAAGAAAATAAAGAGTTTTAGAGTGTTTTATCATCCTGATGCTTTCTTTGAGTAGAATTAGGGGAAAACATTATAAAATTCGTGTAGCTCCTTTTTATAAACTGATACATTAAAAACAAAACTAAGTAATAAGTTATTTATTTTGTAATAGAAACTGCGTGGTAGCGGTGTTGCCGTTGAAACAGGAACAGTCTCTTCAAGTGATGTAAGTATATTCCTTCTTAATTCACTGGCCTCTTAACATCCTGAAAATGAATTATTTTAAGTCACAGACATTTAGAGTTCTTAAGGAGTCTGCTACTACCCAGACACTTAAGTTCATGGATTTAATGTGTTACCTCCTATTAGGTTAAATGTATTGCAGTGCTATTTGTAAGTATTTATGGTTCATAATGGTCCCTTTTTCTGCAGTAGACATGAGGCTTGTTCTTTCCTGTTGCTCTGTTTTATCCAGACCACTTTACTTTATATCTGAGAATCAAATCAAGAATCTAAATTATGGCATATAACTGGGGTGATCATGAAGTCACTCTTCAAATTTCAGTTGTTTGATAAAAAGCCCAGTGTTCCAGTTGAGAGCTGAACAGTACATCAAATGGTTAAGAACTGAGTTAACTGATGGCAGTGAATCTTGTTATTGCATTGCTCTTTGATGCTTTGAGACGTGGTGGCCAAGCTTGTTCGTCCCCTGCCTTTTCCCATGATCTCTCCCCACGTTTTATAGAGCTGGAAAGATGAAGTTTGAAAATGATCCTGGCTCCCCAGGATCCTTTCTCAAGTTGTCTTTTCCACTTGCTACACCCTAGGAATAGCTTAGCAGATGGCACTAAGTTTGGATTAGTGAGTATGGTCATGATGGGAGCCACTCTAAGGAAAGGGAGAAAAGAGAAAAGTAGGTGAGGTGTGTGTGCAGTTTCACGTGCTGGGAATACCTCTGGGAAACTGGATCTTCAGAGGATGTTGTCTGTAACCCACCTGTAATTGACCTGGATGAAGCTCTGTAGAAACCAGTTAATTAATATCCATATTGATTACTCATGCTTTGATAATTACCCAAGATGTAGCTAGCTGGTGGCAGAGTTCATTTTCTTTCTTCACTTTTAATTTACTTATTTTCATTTTATTTGAAAGACAGGGATCATCCATCTGCTGCTTAATTCTTGAAATACCTACAGTGGTCATGGTTGGGCAGAGCTGAAGCCAGGATCCTGGAATGCAATCTGGGTTTCCCACAGGGGTGGCATGAATCCAACTGCTTGAGTTATTATCTGCTGCCCCCAGGGTGCCACTTAGCAGGAAGCGGAATTGGAAGCAGAGGAGCTCTAACTTAAACCAGATACTCTAATTTGGGATCTGGGCATCTTAGCTGCTGCACAGAATGCCTGCCCCCAAAATCTGTTTTCAAAGTCACCAGCTGGAATGGTCTTGGGACAAAGGTTGAATGGCTTGATGAATATTGTGCTGGTTCGGAAAATGGCTACAAATCTGAACTGGAACCAGAGCAAGTGGGGAATTAGAGAAGCCATCCCAGAGAAGCGATCCTAGGGCCTAGGTGGGGGAAGAAGTGGGTAGGGAGCCTGGTTATTTTGACACAGGCAGATGTTTCACTTGGAAGTTTTTATCTTATGGACATTAAATTACTGTCATTTGTAAATTTTAAAAAAAAATTCAACTTGTGTATTTTGTACACACATGTAGATTTTTTTTTTAAGGAAAGATACTTTCAGGATTCTCTTAGAAATTTGCTTGGGTGGTTGCTAAAGTGTTTGTAAGGTATCGGAGGTTACACAAGGAGGTGTAAGCTCTGCTGAGTGGATGTTCGGATTTTGCTTTTCTCTCTCAAGTCTATTTCAAACATGGCACTGATTAGTTGGGTTGGCGGTGCTTTAGTCTAAGTGGTTTAGCCGGTAAACTCATACACACGTGTCCCAGGTGGAATTAACAGAAGGGGTAATTGTCAGAAAGGAAAAGATGTTTTCTGGTTTCTCTTCTCTCTTGAGTACCCTTCAGACCTGAACATTGACTCTTCCTGAAAGCTCTTGTTTTTTACATGACTGTCAATTTGAAAAGCATGTCTCTGGGTGGACTGAGAAGGGTTTCATCCTTGTCTTTGATATCTGATGTTTAAAGGTGAATCAATCTAGCAGGTGACATTTATCTAGCACTTACTGTATACATTGCACTGTTTTAATCGTTTGACATTTGTGTACCCCGGAGAATCTATTCACTGTCTTTCTCCTCGGACATACTATCAACCACATTTTATGGCTGAGCCACGAGGCCATGCGGAAAAGCATGTCAATATGCCCAAGGTTGCATAGCAAGAGTAGCAGAACTTCAAAAATGAATTCCTTGTAAGAGAACTACTTTTGAGGAAGCTGACCTGGAATTGGTTCTTTAAGACATTTCTCAAATCACAATACCTACTCAGATTTTTAAATACATCCAGATCATATCTGAGATTCCCCTTTGGTTTTCCTAACAAGCAAAGATGAACTGCATTTCATAATGTAGCCACTTGATGGCAGTATAAAACAAAGTTTTACATTACAAAATGCAAAGTAAATAGGATTCAGCAGTCTTTTAAAATTGGTCACAGAAGTATCATCATTATGAGTGGATCATTACAAACATTTTTACTTAAGTGACATTCCATAAATGAGAGTTCATCAAAATGTATTGTTTTATCTAGTTGTGAAAATAATAGCATCAAAGTATAGGTACTTAGTTTAAACAGCCTGTTTAATTCCTCACTGTTTCTTTCTTTTTTTTTTTAAGATTTTATTTTTATTAGTTTTTTATTGGAAAGGCGGATATACAGAGAGGAGAGACAGAGAGGAAGATCTTCCGTCTGATGATTCACTCCCCAAGTGAGCGCAATGGCCAATGCTATGCCAATCCGAAGCCAGGAGCCTCTTCCGGGTCTCCCGTGCGGGTGCAGGGTCCCAAAGCCTTGGGCCGTCCTCGACTGCTTTCCCGGGCCACAGGCAAGGAGCTGGAAGGGAAGTGGGGCTGCTGGGATAGAACCGGTGCCCACGTGGGATCCTGGGCGTGCAAGGCGAGGACCTTAACCACTGCGCCACCGCACCGGGCCCCCCCCTCACTATTTCTTGAATGCAAATTACAAATGTTCTCTTCTGAGAAGACATCCTTGTCTTGGATGTGGATTGTTTGTGCTGACCCCCTGATAAAAGAATGCTGTGACCTCTGACCTTTACAAGATTTAGAAAGGATATGGACATTTTCAGTCCCTGCTTTCTTTGTCTTCCTTTTTCCTGTGCCCGCCTTCACTTGTCGGTGTGTGTAGGAGAGAAAGGTGACCTATAACTCCATCTGACCGTGTGCTGCTCTCTGGCTCCTATTGTAAAACATCCAGTTTAGCAGCTAGAACTGCAGGATGAGCATTGTTCCCAGGTAATAAGTGACTTGTGAAGTGGCCTGTTCTTGCTTGCTGGATCTTGCCTCTGAATGTTCTAGAGCAGCTCTATCCTGAGGACCTGAGATGATGGACAGGTTCTGTGTGTCTGCCTTAATTCTCTAGGGAACCCTGTGTGGCTCTGAGCACTTGGACATGTAGCTAGAGCAAGCAAGGAAGCAAATTTTTAAATTTTAACGATTTTTTCAAAAAAGACTATCAAAATAGATTTTTAAAAAGATTTATTTATTTTTACTGGAAAGTTAGGTTTACAGAGAGAAGGAGAGACAGAAAGAAAGATCTTCTGTCTGCTGATTACTCTCAAAGTGGCTGCAATGGCCAGAGCTGAGCTGATCTGAAGCTAGGAGCCAGGAGCTTCCTTTGAGTCTCCCATGTGGGTGCAGGGTCCCAAGGCTTTGGTCTGTCCTCGACTGCTTTCTCAAGCCACAAGCAGAGAGCTAGATGGAAAGCGGGGTTACCAGGATTAGAACTGGAGCCCATATTGGATCCCAGCACGTGCAAGGCAAGGACTTAAGCCACTAGGCTACTGAAACAGATTTCATGTGCTTTAAAACTAATTCCTTTGTGGTTCAGTGGATTTTGCTTTATTTCTGGAGTTGTGCAACCATTGCCATAATTTAACTTTGTGACATTTTCAGCACTTCAAAAAATAAAATCCCAGCCTACATACTTGAGTAGTCCTGCCCACATTCACTGTATCCTGCTGAACTCTGTCAAGCACACGTGTGCTGTCTGCACTTGCCTTCCTGACACTTCATGTCAGCAGTCATTGACAGGCCCTTCTGGCCTGGTTTCTTTCACTTAGCAAAATGGTTTTGAGATTCGTCAGTGTTTTAGAGGAAAATGCACTCCACTTCTTTTGACTTTTGATCAGATTCCTTAAGTCTTTTTTTGTGTCAATTCTGATGCGCTTGTCATTAGAGGTTGGTTTTTTTTTTTTTTACTTCGACTTTGTTTTTATTTTTAAATTTTTACTGATTTATTTATTTCTCAATTTTATTTTTTATAATGATTACATGGTGGATCAGGGTGGAAAAGATTGAGGTTTAGGGAAAATTGGATGTACTCATTGCTTCCAAATTTGCTATTTCTTCTTGTTGTTTCTGGGGGAAGGGGAGAGACAAAGTGGGAAGCCACTCACGACTTTCCACGAATCTCAGTCCCCACGATGAGGAGCCGCCACCTCATATCAACCCAGAGTCTCAGTGTGCACATGTTCCGAGGGTTCTGTCCAGGTGGCTTGCATAGTTCGGAAATGCTCTGATTTCACCAGTCCAAGGATGATGTCACCCTCCCAATGTCCATTGGCTCCATTCACTGAAAGTTTTTGCTGTCATTGTTTGGGGTAGTTGTCCAGTTGCTTGTGTTCTGCTACAGCATTAAATGAGCTGCCATATTCTCGTTTTACAACAGGGCCTGTGTCTAATGCCCCACCCTCTTTACTAAGTAGGATGTATTTTTGCAGGCAAGTCCAAGGACCTAGGCCAGGTGTCCCAAGCATTGCCGGATCCTCTGCCCCTGGGCTCATGAACACGACACCCACTTAGTAGGTGGGCCCCAGGATCAGGGCCAGGTGACCCAAGCCCCGCTGGATACCCACTCCTGGAATTCATGAACCTGGCACTTACCTACTAGGTGGGCCCCAGGTCAGGTGACCCAAGCATCACTGGATCCCCTATCCCCGGAGTTCACAAACCCAGTTCCCATCTAAAAGGCAGGCCCCAGGATCTGGGCCAGGCGACCCAAGCCCCGCCAGTTCCCTTGTCTCT